GGCGTGCGAGTGGGTTGTGTACCTGAACAAGCAGTCGCACAAAGCAGCTTTGATGTAAGCTACATAAGTGTTAAACACAGAGAGAACTGATAGCAGCACCGCCGCCTGTGCCAAGCCATTAAATACCAACAATGGCATCTGTGGATTGGGCAAGAAGGGGAAAATAATGAAGCAAAATGGCAGGCGACAAAGCAGGCTGGGAGTGATAACATGTGCCGCTTGCTTTTCTGCTACACAGGGAGAGGCCTAAACCGCAGGAGGCTTGTGCAAGGGGGGGTTGGTGCTGTTTCTCAGAAGCCATTTTTAATCGTGTGGTAATTATTTACTGCTTGAAGAATATGAACAGAAGATTATATGCAGTCGCACTCCCCCCCCCTCATCAGATGGAAAATCTCAGACGCAATCAATTCATGTCCCTGTCTGAGTATGTCCTTTTTCTGCTGTATCATTATAAACACAATTGTGTTCATTTTCTTGCAGAAAAGGATCCGCAGAGCCCGAGAACCTTACAAGTATACAATTCTTTTCCCCTTTCGAACCGCCGCTCAATCAGTCTTTTCCATTTTGCTTTGTCCCCCCCCTCATCAGATGGAAAATCTCAGACGCAATCAATTCATGTCCCTGTCTGAGTATGTCCTTTTTCTGCTGTATCATTATAAACACAATTGTGTTCATTTTCTTGCAGAAAAGGATCCGCAGAGCCCGAGAACCTGACAAGTATACAATTCTTTTCCCCTTTCGAACCGCCGCTCAATCAGTCTTTTCCATTTTGCTTTGTGCTGATAGCCAGAAGCGTTAACACTTTCTTAATGTATTCCATTAAAAATTTTCATTCAGTATGATTCCTGGCTCACAAGAAAATCACCATTACTCCCTATGGGCTATATGTTTATCCTCCCTATTAGCACAGAACGAGGTGTTGCTGAGGTAGCAACACTGGGCTGGGGATGTGTGCATTTAAAGTAGGGGATTTTCAGCTTGATTCAAACATTTGAAAACAAAGGCTTTCCGCTAAGTTAGCAGCATTGCCATCTGCTTTATTCGGCATCTCGACACAATCCTTGCGGTAATGACTTCTGAAATGCTTTCCCCACTGAGAGGAATGTGATAAAGCCGTTTCTGCTGACAGTTTACATAATCGCTGATAAATATTGGCCCACTGTTTTTTTTATTTATCCACAGTGTACAGAAATGAATTATTCTTAGAATTATTTTGTGCAATGAATACAGGGATGTGTTTATTTTTTTGTGGTTTATCAGTAAATTATACATTTGTGTATTCTTCACATATACAAAGTTGTTTCTTCAACTATGGGGACTTACATTATTTGGTAACACTTTACAATAAGGTTCATTAGTTGACAGTAATTAACTGTATTAGTTAACGTGAACTAAGCATGAACAAAACTTCTACAGCATTTATTAATCTTAGTTAATGTTAATTTCAACATTTACTAATGCATTATTAAAATCAAAAGTTGTGGGAGGGAGCAATCGGTTTCCAATCTAACGTTACTGTAAAGTTTTCACTGCGTTCACCCCTCATCACACAACAACTGTTTCCTCCAGCGAAAATCTAGACCTTAACACATATGAACGCATACTTTATAAAACGATCATGCTGCTCTTTTCATTTGAAAATTTAATATTTAAGATAAATCATATTACAGTGCATGTGGCATACCATACAGTCATTCACAGAACTGATTAAAGACAGTGACAGACAGCACTCATTTTAACTAAATATCAGAGTGATTGACAGAGATACTGTATTAAATAATGACCCAGATCGTGAAATACATTTATTAGCCTTAGAGTAAGGGAAGCACAACTCGGGAAATGAGAGCATCCGAGGAGCATGTGAATGCTATGTATATTTATTTTAAATATTTAAATATTAAATATATTTAATGTTCTTTTAATGTTTTTTTGTGGCTCTTTTTTTAAAGTATCGGTTCAGGCACCGGTACAATTTTAAAAGTATCGATTTGGCATCTGTATTTGTAAAAAAAACAATCGATACCCAACCCTAACTGTAATAAATATATTGTTCATTGTTTGTTCATGTTAGTTAATATATTAACTAATGGAACCTTATTGTAAAGTGTTACCCATTATTTTTTATTAAAACTTCAGGATATTTTTAGTGTTTTCTTCTAATCATATTAAAACTTTTTGGGAAAGCATCACATGCCTTCATTATTTATTTTTGCTGTTTTTCAAATGCCCTTTTATGTACAGATTTTGTTGTTAGACCCTTGCTCAGACCCAGATTTCAATGCTGGTCAATTTAATTTCAAAAGGTTTAAAATGTAATTTCCATCGTAGAATGAATGATTGTTTGAGATGTGGTGGAAATGACACATTGATGCATGTAGTTCAACATTGTTAGCAGACTAGTTTGTACAGTGAGTTGTACATTCTTAAAGGCCATAGAGTGCCCATAGTTGACGAATCATCCATATGTGTATAACTATATTAAATAAAATATTGAACCTCAGCTCTCCGGTGTATTGCATGTACAGCTAAAGGTCAGAAAGAAGGTGATGAGAGAGCATGTGTGTATGTGAAAGTGCAAGGAGAGGAAAGAGAAGGATGGATAAACAATCTGGGGTGGCACTTTGGCAAGCGGCAGTCACCCAGGCTTGACAGGGCTAGAGAACAGTAGCCGTGGCAAACGGTACATCACTGCATTGCGTCTCATCAAAGCTGACAGGAGCGGGGGAAGGAAAAAAAGGGAAAAGAAGAAGCCTGTCTATTACATGCGAAGGCCCAAAACTTCTCACCTTGTCGAAGGAGCTGTCTCTCTCTAACTTTTCAACTGCCATGTAAAAGGCTCGCTTGCATGTCAAAATTCTTTGAAAAGCTGAGAAGTGACTTCTCGTTGACGTCCATACCCTATAGATTAATGCCGAGCGGAGAGCTCAGGAAGGTTGCTCTGGTCAAATATTATGACATCGAGGTTCAGATACAATCTGTGATGCCCCGCAATCTATTTTGAACCCCAGACAGCAGCTAATGAAGGCAGCAGACCGAACTCACAGCCTAGCTCGCTCTGCTTTTACAATGATCAAGAAGCGATCTGTTAGCTTAAAATTCTGAACTGGGAAATTGCACCCCTGGGATCCCAGAGCAAAGAGTGCAGTACAGGGAAGAGTCGTATTTATGATGCACTATGTGCTCCCAAGCCAGAACAAGGACAGAGCGGTAAGACAGTGAGTGATCCTGGTTAACGTTATGTTTTCATAACCGGCAATTTAATAAAACAAGTTCCATTTGGTGTATGCAAGGATATCCCAAGACTTTAGTGAATTTCTCACATGTAAAGACTGAAAAAGGAGCATGTGTCAACTCTCATGACGATGATTTTAATGACGATTCTCTTGCCCGACCATCTGACTGCCTGGCAATGAAATCCTAAAAAACCTGTGGTCAGGAGCCAAGAGTCTCTCTCTCTCTCTCTCTATTTCTCTCTCTCCCCTTTTGTCTAAAAATCAGTGGCTTTAGGCCTGGCCCTGTTTTAATGAGATTATCCAGAGTGAAGTGTCACTAAGTAGGATATAAAATGGAGGCCATTATCTGGCATTATTTCTGAGCAGCCTCCTCATCCATCTGCTTACCACCCACATAGTCACTACGGTGGGATTAGAACTCTGATTAGCAGGGGAGTGCTGCTTAAACACCTCTATGTCCTCTTTCTCTCTCCTCCTTTCTCTCTGGGCACTGTACACAAAATAATAGCCCTTCTCACCCAGTGTTTCCAACTCTCAAATTGCCCTGAAACTGTGGTCTAACCTGATATAACTGCATCAAACAGACCTAAAGAAGCAATGATTTTAGTTTAAGACTTCATTTTTAATTTGATTTGTCCTTTTAAATATTCAACAGTGGAGTAAAAAGTTGCCATTTTTTGTGAAGATACATGGTTGTTGGTTTTGGACACACCTTCAAAATGCTGAATATTCTAAAATGACTCATTAATTTTATTTTTAACATTATTTTCATTAAATTATTATAATTGAGTTGGTATTGTGTAATTTTTTTAACATACAGTATTTAATATACACAAATCATTAATGAATATATAATGCATTAATTATTTTGTGTCGGTGTGTGTGTGTGTGTATATATATATATATATATATATATATATACACAGTATATATATAGTCTATTCAGTTTTTTCTCAATAGCGATCAATTCTTGTAATTCATTTCATTAACATTTTTTATTAATTGACAGCTGAGTAAAAAGTTAATGACTCTTCCTCCCAAAGTTTTCCTTTTTAACCTATAATACCCAAGACATTGTGTCTCTTCTGTTTCCATCACACACACAATTCATTATGCAAATCAAATGCAGTTTTCTTTTCTGGTTTTTTTTCTGTCCTTATTAGTACCTGTGATTTTGTCTCGAACCAGCTTGCAGGACTCAATCTCGCCAATGCTGCCAAAGAGGCTGCGGAACTCTTCCTGGGTCATGTTCTGGGGCAGGTAGTTGACAATGAGGTTTGTCTTGCTGTCGTCACTGGAGCCGCCGGTCTGCATTGGTGAGGGGCAGCTGCGGCTGTTACTGGAGGGACCATTGGCCATGGCAGAGTTCGGCCCGTTCGTCACCTGAGGCTCCATGTTGCTGATTATCTGCAGACAGAAGAAGGGTTAAAGGATGTGGCATCTGAAAAGTAAGCAGTTCAGTAAACAGCATATTTAACACAGACATATCTGATTTCCTATATATCAAGTACTTGATAACTTAAAGAAAATTTGTGGAAGTTACTGACATTGCAAATAAAGGGGTTGGAATAATCTAGTGTATGTCACTGCAACTGCAACTATTAGCTGTGAAACCTCACAGACTGACTCTAAATAATACAATGCATGACACACTTACTGAAAAACTGTTTCTGCATCTCTAGACTTTCAGTAGCTTTCTTCCACCCTCCCTCCCCCTCACTCTATCACTGATATTTTTAAGCTTGGCTGTGCATTTTGATGGTTGGCTCAATTTGACAGGGTAACAATGTGAGCCCTTCAGCATGGAGCGACTGTCATGGTGAACAGCGTTTGCCACTGGTTTAGCCGTGCGCTTTTAAGAGCAGGTGTTTGAAGAGAAGCTTGCTGGCCCTGGGGAAGTAGGAACAGAGGAGGCCCCAATCTGTGCTGCTTTTCAGCCTCAAACTTTTTATTTCAAGATTGTTCCACACCGAAGCTAAATGTATTCACCCATTTGCATAAAGGATGTTTGTGTGTGAGCTCAAGTGTGTTTAATTTTGTCACCCGACTCTATTTGAGGGGGCTGGGTGACATCTAGAATCGTGTCATATCCTGACTGTCACGAAGGTTGAAGATACGAGTGTGAGTGAGCGTGTGTGAGAGAGAGCAGATTAGTGGGCATATCTTCATGGTTGCATGAAGCAACACTCCATGAGATCTTCTCAGGGGGAAAAAAGCTATTCGTGTCAGTCAGTGGTGCATGTTAAAAACAAATTTCGCTTTAGCTTTACACCTTTTATAACACTAGCCTGACCTTCTCCGACTGTCAGGACAGCCATGGTGTGGCCTAAAACTGTGTCCTAACCAGACGTGACTGACAAAGCAACACTAATTTTTTTTTTTTTAATGTTTGGTAGCCCCACCCATGCCGAAATATTACTGGAACAAAATCTTGCTTCTTAATGCATATTAAACATGGAGGAGGAAAGACTGAAAGTCATAATGGCTATGGGTGATTTGTGTTTTCAGTTTTTTTTTTTTTTTTGCATTCAGTGTATACAGAAAAATTGCAAGTTGCTCAAATCTTGTCACATTAAGTCTGGTGTAACAACAGTACGGTGTGTATCAGTGTTTTAGGAAAATTCAATGAGGTCTTTCATTGTCAGACAAAAGTCTCAGACCAAAAATAAGATAAGAGAAGAGAAAACTAAAAATAAATAAGAATTAAAACAGCAAGCATGACCTGATTATAGCTCGTTCTAAGCTGATTCTGTAAGTCAACCATGTTTAATATTCATATTCTCTTCCTCTCTGACTGGATGTGGTGTAATTCAGATCAAGATCTGCACTAAGAGGGTGAAGGAAAAGCGCTAATGTTTCCTGCTGATAGTTTCAAGAGTGGAAAATAATAGAGATCTAAGCTGAAATTCAGCTGCACTTATTTTTAGCTCCTTAAGAAAAAATACTCTGTATCTGCACTCTGAAGTTCGACTCTCTTTTATCAAAGTGGGCATATTTAGAAAGGTTAACAATTTTTCCCCATCTGACACCACGCTAGTGTTTGCACTTGGGAGTATTTTTGAGAAACACACAGGTAAGTAAAGAGGATGCTAAAAACAAAGCTATTCAACTGCGTATGATACGAAGCCATAAAAATAGCTGCAGCATGTCTCTGCTCCCCTAAATGATCTTTAAAGTCAATGTGAAATCAAAACTGACCCTATTTACTTTCTTAATGCATGTTTGGGTCTTACTGAATGATTCATTGGTGTGTATGTATCCATGTACAGTATACTGTATATATGTTATATGTGTGTGTGTATTTATATATGTTTCACTCTGATTCTCTAAAATGGTTACAAAAATGGCAGACGCAGTTGCATTCCCCCTTTTCTGGATCAACCGCTGTGCCTCCATTTTTAGTCTTTGTATATGTTAAAATTTTTCCGATGTGACAAATAGAAAAAAAGCTGCTGGCAGCCCATAGGAGGCTCATCTGCAAAGCTCTCAGGATATGCATGTAAATGGATCCTGTTCCATACTTCTCTGCGGCAAAAAGGGATGGAGCGACACAAAGGGACAAAATAGCCATCGCCACAGCAGGTCTTGATAGATGTGTGTGTGTGTATGTTTATTTCTTGGTGTTTTCATGTGTGCATGAGTGAGGGGAGACTTATTAAGTCTGTTTGCAGCTCCTGCTGTGCACTGTTCTTTCAGGAGGGGAAAAAAAAGAAATGCTCAAACCTCATGGGATGAGAGCTTTGAATATTTCAGAGAAGGAACAGATGAAAGTGGACACCTTTCATTCTGATTCCAGGGACCTGTTGTGTCTCGATGGCCAATTAAAGACCTGTCCTTCCATTGTGACACTAGCTCTTATATGCGGTCTTATTATTTTTCTGTAGCTGAACTCCCCTCGTTGTCATACTGAGAAGGGTAATTGTTCCTTTACACTCTCACTATTGCTGGACATTCGCCCTAGCAGATTGGTCAGTTGGTCCCTCCAACTCCAACAATATTTTTCCCTCCTTTCCTTAACTACTATTCCTGAATAGTTAAAGATTAGATTTGAATGTAAACTTGGCCATTAAAAATAACCAACCAAATAAACAAAACAAGGAAACTCTTTGCTTTGTGTTGCCTAGAAATCTGTCAATAATTAATCAGGAGGGCGTTTCAAGAGTGCTGATATACAACACTGGGACTTTTTGCTGTATGTGAGGATTTTTTAAATGACTCTTTCTTCAGGTTACATCATTGTGCCAGTAGATGGCAATAAGAATTGATTGTCTTAATGAGTGATTCACTGAGGCAACTGAGTCATTGTATCATTCACTCAAGTGATTTGTTCAAAAAGTTGTTCTGTTAAAGAACTATTAAAATATTAAATATATTAAAATAGGCTACTCTATATTTATAATACATATTTTTTATATAAATTAATTTAAAAACATTTTTCAAACTAAATTCATGTGTCATTCTTTCTGTAGAATATAGTCCCTGAAATGTGAACCCCTGTTAAATTGTGCATTTTATCTCAGGTTGTATTCTTTATTGACCAACTGACCAATCAGCATCTACAACTTGAAGTATCAGCTTTACTACTCTTAATGTGTGATGTAGAATAGCTTTTAGGCCTGTCAACAAACTCGTAAAAGGGCCGAAAGCATTAGCTAAAAAAAGGGCAGTCTGCTTCCAAGACTCTCCTTTTTTTCCCCATTTACAGCAAGGTTTGACAAGTTAGCATGGGCCATTTAGCGTGGGGGTCACATGCTAGCTGAACAACTGCTATTGATATTAATGAGAATGCTAACAGATAGCTTTCTCCAGGTTTTGCAGAGCCTAGGGCTGTCACAGAAACAGATGTGATTTCTCAGAATACCTATTTCAGTGATATCTGTCAAGTGGTAGGGGCATTTAATGGGTGGCATTAAAAAAATGTGTATACAGCACCTTTAACTGGGATAGTACAATAAACGTTTGTTGTTTGGATGCTAGCTAAGGCAGAGCCTAGCTGGCTGTATCTGTTTGTGCTGTAGCTGTAGTAGGCAGGGAGACAGACAGACAGGCAAGGCGAGCAGACAGGCAGACATGCTAAGCCATCACAAAGGCCTTGGTGTCAGCCAAGGGACAGACATCATCTTCCCTTTGATTCAACTGAACAGTAGCCCCAGATTACACTCCTTTATTTTTTCAATGGCAGATATGCCGACTGTTTCTGAACGCTGCTCGGCCCGGCTCAGGCTATGAGTGAGTATGTGTGTGTGTGTGTGTGTGTGTGTGAATGCAGGAAGGAAGAAGCTCTGCCACTCTGTCTTACATAAGTGCCTTAGAGGATGTCAGGACGGGGATAAAAATACAGGTTCAACCAGTCCAATGTCCCTGAGTCACCCAGAGCCAGAGCCAGAGGTGTGTGTTTGTGTGTTCACAGCACTGCAGATAGATGCATTTCAGTGTGTGTCGCTGATACCTGCCATTTCAACACGGCACTTTAATGGCCTTATTAGCTAAGATGATAAAATGTCAGGCTTCTATTCTGATGTGTGTTTTTACTGTTAATGCTCTCCAGTTATTACCGGAGCCTTCTGATATAATGCTCCCTCCTATAGATGTCTGCTCTTATTTATGTGGCCCTGTAATTGCTAAATCTACAAGAAAACAACATTGGTAATGATCTTCAGGTTCAAGTAAAAGAGAGTCTAAATGCAAAATATATATAATTATATATATATATATTGTTTGTTGACATATATTATATATTTTTCTCCATACTAATTTTCCATACTAAAGTGATTCCTTCAGCATATATGCAAAAAAAAATTCTAATAGCATAAGACACTGCATTCACAGACATTATACATATTGACAATACAACATCCATCCATAATATGTTATCAGGTAACACCACTATTAACAATTACAGTAATAATACTAATAATAACTTTCATTTAAAACTTATTATTACGCCTGTTTCACTCTACCCCTGCACACAGCCTCCCTCTCATAGCACAATTTCATAGCAACAATATGGCTATTAATGGGGGTAAAAATGGCAGTTAGTGGGCAGCAGTCTCCTTACCATCTTTGGCTGTGTCAGCAGTCCCTTCTCAGCCCAGCCCTGGAGCTGCGGCAGGTCTGCCTGACGCCACTGAGTCTCTGTCGATCCCTACGGGAGGGGGGCAGGGTCAATATTCAAACATGCCCATTTTCTCCATACCAAACAGACACTCCTGACGGTCTCCAGGCACACTAAAACACACAGGTGGCTTTGATTTGGACTCGAAAGACAAAATAGTTTGAATTTAGTTGGGTTTTATATATGCTATAATGGAAATGGGTGCTCTAGGTGCATGCGGAGAACGGGTGATATATAGAATCGCCTATTTACTGACGAATCTGAAGATTGTTTTCACGCTCCAGGCCGTAGACAAATTTGTGTAGGATATAGAAACTGCAAGTTGTGAAAAACAGCAAGCCTCCGACTGTAGATTTAATTTCTTGGGTTCGCCGACAAATCCAGCTTCGTAAACAAGACCTTAGAGGACCAATACAGAGGCTGCCACAATCACAGCTTGAGCCGTGGAGCTAACAGAGAAAACGGCCAATTTAGGAAAAGAGGGAGACTCTGAGCGTGGCCTTTCCGTTGGATGGATGGAATAGAGGAGGAGTGTAATAGGAGGCATCTAGCATTACATCATGGAAAAGACACCTATGCATCGGAAGGGACGGAGGGGGGCAGGGGGAAGGGGCTTGGCGTCCTTTGCAGATCTTTAAAACATTCGTGTAAGCGCCCAGGTGTCGGGATCTAGAGAAAAATGGACTGTCAGCGAAGGAGGGAGAGAAGAGAGTGAAGGGGTGGGCAGGTGGATTGCTGACAGCTCTTGGTGTTGTGTTATCTGGGGCATGGGTCTGTAATTTAAAAAAGAACCTCATGGGATTTTTTGTTTTGTTTTTTTAATCTCATGTGCCACCTTGGTTTTAGTTTTAGTGAGGACCGCAGGGTGTAACAAAACACTTTTATTGTTCTGGTGATGAAACATCAGTGTACATTCAGCTTAAAGGTGATGTGTATTTGTTCTCTAATGAAACAACATATCTGCATGAACCAGTCCAGAGCTTTAGATCCACATGTTGAATCGTTCAAAAAATAAGAAGCAGGATGACACAGCCAAATGATGCATCAGAATTGCATTTGGTGCATCATTCACAGGAAGGTTTAAAAAATGCTCGCTGTTACTCTGGTTACAGAGGACAGATCAATGTCCGCGGGTGACAGAAGGGAGAGGACAGACTATAAATGAATTCATCTTCTGTTTTCACTGACCTTTTCTCAAAGCTCACAGGAATCAAAAATGGAATACGTAATAATGGAGAAATAGCTTTTTGTTCTCTTTCTCTTTCTGTCTTATTATCTCTCTCTTCCTTCTTTTTCTATGTTTCTTTTGTTGAGAAAATAAAACTACTCAAACTACTGTTGTTCATAGCAATTAAACAATGTCAGCAAATGTAAATTAAATGAATGTTTGTTTCTTTAAATCATTTGTTAGATGTGCTGCAGAAGCTGCAGTTTGCAGGATGTAAGGTAAGTTATCTGAAGGCTTTTCTGTTGATATATTTACTTAGATTAACTCTTTGACTCTCTCTCTTTCACACACACATAAACAGAAACACACACACACTAAATGTAGATGCTCAAAAATATACTGATGAGAAAGAATCACTTGATAATCTGCCATTTTTTTCTTCTACAAAATATCTACCAATATTAAATACCCCATAAAATCCAAATGAGAGTTTTGCGACTTTAGTCTATGTACTCTATGTTTGCTTTGAGGCCATCTATATGCTAATGTTCTCCTAAACATTGACTAAATGAATTTGAGCAGATATACGCATTTAAAAATATCTTTCTCTTTAGGGAAAATAGACTGATAATGTTTATGATATAACATGTTATAAAACATTCCTGTTTTCTGTTTAGGCTAATACGTTAACACATGACAGAAAACTGCAGTCGACGAATGGCTTCATGGGGTTTTTAAAAACGGAAGAAAACTGAATCTCGTATTAGCTTAGCATTACCTTAACCACAATAGCCAAGTCAAAAATAAATAAGTAAATAAATAAAATAAAACAGAGATGTCACCTCACCCTCTTAAATTAAAAAAAAATCTCCCACTCTTTCCTTTTCTGCTCATGTGATGGTCAATAGATCAGCCACTTCATTCACGGCAGAACGTTATTGGTCAAACAACCCGTACTTAACCCCAAACAGGAACCACAATGGACTCGGAAGCATCTTGCACAATCATTTCCACGCGCATACAGCCTGTATCACTCAACCTTGCAACCAGATAATTGACATCACAGAGGCACTGTTAAAACTAAGAGTACTTGCCACAAAATGGAGGTCACCTTCAGCAGCTATATATATGTGAATGTATGATCTTGCTGTTTTTGCCACACACACTCATGTGGTTCAAACCCAAGGAAAGGAGGATTTCATCTTTTTCTTCCACTATATTTTCTGTTTACTCATACCTCTCAGGTAGATGTAGCTGGGGAATAAACTTTTCCTTTTACAAAACAGCATGACTCTGGTAAGTAACCCTAGACTAAATCTACTCAAAAATTCTCAGATTGAGAAATAAATAAATTTGTACTTAATAAGAGTCTCTGGGCGGAGGGTACAAGTCTCCTTAATGTTCACAGAGGTGGCTGCACTTGCCCAAGATTCCAACCCTCCTGTGCACTGAACTGCTGGAGGGGATGTGAGCTGTCAGAACCCATTCAGGTACGCAGCTTCATACATTTCTTGTATCTTAACGTCAGGTCAGTAAAGTTCTCTGTGTGTATTGATTTTTATTTTTCTCTCCCCGTGTTTTGCGTGGGCTCCCCTCCTCAGTGGGACACCTCCTCCAGAGCCCTCGGGTCAGACTGCCACTCCGGCAGATCAATCAGGGCAGTAATGTGGGACAGCATGCGCCAAGACTGCTCCGCTCCGTCACTATTGATCCGCATCTACTTTACCAAATAGATTTTTTCTTCTCCGTCCTCCCTCCCCTCTCTCATTGAGTGCCTCTCTCGCCCTCTTATTCTTCCTCTGAGGGACTTCGAATAATAAATGCCTCAGTATAAAAGCAATTTTTCATTTAACTTTTGCTTGACACATTTTCTTCTTCCCTCTCTAGATGAAGTCTGGTTTTATGTTATGCCAGATCGATAGAGGCTTCCCAGGTGGTTCTCCCATAATTTCTATGCCTTTCTTCCCTGGGTGATGGTGATGGGCCTGGTTCAGCCAGGATGTTAGCGGATAGCAGAGGACCACACCCTGATCACATTACCCCGTCATTAGAGCAAGCCTCATTTGATCAGTAATGAAGGCTGCTGTTCATTTGGCTCATGCCTTGTGTTCTTTCTTGGCGTCTGTTTCTCAGAGATGGGTTCTTTGCTCCCGTCTTAGAGTCCAATGAATATCTCAGAGGAATTACTCTCTGACCTTTTGCTGTTCAAAGGCGAGATTCGCTTCCTGGGGTGACTCAGGGTGACTATTTAATGACAGGTCTGTGGAGTAATAGGAGAGGTTGAATACAGGCCACTGCAGAAACATAAACACCCGAATGCTGAAAGCCATGATCGCAGGGATTCACAAATTTATGATGCTTGAGCAGTTTTATGTTAATAAGGAATTAGGATTTAAAAGCGAAATATTTCTAAGCAGTTCAGTTTTAGGTCAGCACATTGTAAATACATTTAAAATGTTAATAAGGGATTTTCCTAGCTTCAGAGGATAGCCTACAAGATATAATAAAGCTCTTTTAACACTATCCAGTTTTTTTTTTTAGAATGTCAAAATTGAAATCATTTAAGCTAAAAAAAATGTTAAAAAAATTAAAAATGCCTTTAAAATGCTTTAAATGCCTGGATGATGGAAAGGTGATTGATTGTTTGAGGGTTTAATTGCTTGAAACCATATTCAGAGATATTAAATAATGAAAAATACATGAATACAGATTGACACAGCAAGCACTTGAAGTAAGGTAAAACATTTTGGCTCTAGATTATTCTAGAAATCGAAGTGTTCATGTAAATTTCATGGAAAAATCTTGTAAGAAAAGAAAGGAAGGAAAAGGAGGAGATGAAAGGAAAAGAACTGGAAGGATGATAAGAGGTGAAAAAGGAGAACATATGAGAGTGTATGCAGCATTAGTGACACAGGCTGTGTTTTTCCTTTGGGCTACGGGTCTGGTGAAACACCTGTGTCTCTCCCTACCCACTCTCTCCAAATCTTGCAACGTTGACCTCATTAGCTGACCCCACTCTCTTTCTCTCACACTCACTCTATCCACCATCGCTCCTTTGCAGTTTCCCCTCTCTCTCTCTCTCTCTCTGGATGAATGGCTGTATTTTCTCTCAGTGCGTGGGATCTCCTTGGCCTTAAATTAACCTCTCTCGCAGATCTTCTGTGGAGACGAATTAGCGCCCAACGTGACAGTGCGGCTAATGTGTTGTTGAGGGTTCAGCAGAGTTTTCAAATAAAAAAAGGCAAAAAAAATTCGATGCTGTGCTGTTAAACTGCAATGCAAAAATGAATGTTTTCGTGAAGTTACACAACTGCAGTAAACGGTGATAAAGATTAAAAAACAAACAAACGCGCTCATGATAGTACGAAAAAGTCAAATAGAGCTGAATTTCTCGACTGCATGTTTGCGTTTTGCATAATCCACTATCTAGTCCATGCTGCCACGGGGACGCTGGCTCCATTAGCCGCTGGTAGCGGCCCAGCTCACTGCCAAGGCAAGCAGAAAATTGGTGAGCATCTTGATTCAGGGATGACACTTAAATTTGTGTGGCTCCAGTGACCAGTTATATCCTCAGGCTCCAGATGGAAATATGAGAGAGTTTGGCCTTCTGTCTGCTCCAGCACAGCCCACAGGACTCATGTCCTTCAGGCAGTATGGGGTAAGCGGCCTGCTGGGCCTGGCTTTGTGCACACCCACATACACACCCAGTGGTGTGCCACTGACATAGTCAAGCCCCTGGCCATCTCTGTGGTATCTCTCGTGGACACGAACGCTGCTTCTGACGCGTAGAGGCCTTGGCTGTCAGACATGAGGCTCTTGTGTCATATTAAAACAGATTTAACAGGTGCGTATTTGGTGGATG